GGTCTCGCTCAGGCTGGTTTCGAACTCCTGACCTTGAGCAATCCGCCTGCCTCGACCTCCCAAAGTGCTAGGATTACAGGCGTGAGCCACCACGCCCGGCCCATTCTGTCTCTTTGATGTAGGTATTTAAAGCTATGAATTTTCCCCTTAGTGCTGCTTTTTCTGAATCCCATAGATTTTGATTATTTGTGTCCCGTTTGTTATTTACTTTGAGGAATGTTTTGATTTCCATCTTACTTTCCTCCTTGTCCCAATAATCATTTGGCAATAGGTTGTTTAAATTCTACTTCGTGTAGAGTTGAATATTTCTATTGGAGTTGATTTCTAATTTTATTCTACTGTAGTCTGACAAGGTACATGGTATAGCTTTTATTTTTTTAATATGTTGAGACATGTTTTGTGGCTTGAGATGTAATCAATCTTAGAGAATGTTCCATGTGCTGATGAGAAGAATGTATAGTCAGTAGTTTTTTGGTAGAATGTTCTGTAAATATCTATTAAGTGCTTTTGTTCTAGAGTCCTTTTTAAGTTCAGTGTTTTTTTATTTTTTTTTTTTTTGCTTGAAGGATCTGTCCAGTTCTGTCAGTGTAGTGTTGATGTTTCCAGATATCACAATGCTACTGTTTATCACTTTGTTTAGATCTAACAGAGTTTGCTTTATGAATCTGGGTGTTACTATGTTAGGTGCATATATGTTTAGGGTTGTTATGTCTAATTGTTGACATGCTCCATTTACCATTATATAGTGACCATCTTTGTCTGTCTTTACTATTGTTTACTATTGTTATTTGAAGTCTATGTTAGCTGATATGAAAATCACTATATCAACTTTCTTTTTATTTCCATTTGCATGGAGTATTTTTTTTCATCCATTCACTTTGAGTCAGTATGAGTCTTGTAGGTTGCATGTGCTTCCTAGAGACAACAGATACTTAGCTTGTATTTTTTTTTTTATTATTCATCTACCCAGCCTATATCTCTTGAATGGGGAATTTAAGCCATTCACATTTATTGAAAGAATTGATAAATGTGATTCATTTCTGTTCATTCTGTTGGGTAGAACCTTATTGCTTTATTTTACCTCTTGAGCCATTATGGTATATGGGCTCTGAGCTTTAGCTTTTGGGTGATTTTTACGCTGGTGGATGTCTATTGGGCTGATCAAAGCACAATGCAGGTCTGAGTACTTACTGCAGGGCAAATCTAGTCTTGACAAAATCCCTCAGTGTTTGCTTGTCTGAGAGTCTTTATTTCTCCCTCATATAAAGAATTTAGTTTTGCAGTATACAAAATTCTAGGCTGGCTATTATTCTGTCTAAAAGACTGAGGATGGGGTTTCAATTCCTTCTGGCTTTTAAGGTCTCAATTGAGAAGTCTGCAGTTAGTACAATAGGTTTTCCTTTGTAAGTTACCCGATGTTTTCACCTTATGGCTCACAGGAGTTCCTTCTTTGTGTTAACTTTGGCCAGTATGATGAGCATGTGTTGTGGTTACTTCCTCTTTTCAATGAATCTCTCAGGTGTTAGTTGAGCTTCTTATACCTGAATATCTAAATGTCTATTTAGGTTATGCCTCCATGTACCATGGCCCAAAATTGCCTCCAGGTAGAAATTCAGGTGTTGGAATGTTCTTTTTGTTTACCTTTTCTCAGAGATTGTGGTGCTTCCTTGCCTATTTTTTTAATGTCTGAAAATTATTTTATAGATTTAGTTCAGCTTTCTAACTATTATAGCTAGAAGGCAACAATAAATAGTGAAAATATTTATAGATATAAAGACATTTATGGATATAATTATTTCATTAGTAGAAATAGAAGTCAAGGTAAATATTATTTTAAGGTGTTTTTTTAAAGAAAGAAATTGAAATTTACTAAAGTAAAACAAAACCTATACACCAAATCCTTTCATCCTTAGTCAAATTTCTTTAAGCCCACATCAGTCAAAATGTTTAATGTGTTACATATTTATGAATGCAAATACAAATATAACATAACATGAAACTCATGCATCTCGTGCATAAGTCATGATGATTCCTCAAGACAACAATAACAGAAAAGGAGCTGGATCTTAGGACTTAATAAGAAAAGCACACCCACATGATTGAAATATTGGCCAAAGGATAAGTTTATCAGGGTAGATGTGATGTACTGTATAAACTATATAAATAATTAGGCAATAGATTATTGAAAGATCAATCTTTAGGTTGAAACCCTAAAGCAGGGCATCTGATGGCAAGAATTTGACAGCTGTATAGGCAAAGAATAATGTCTTAAGATTCTTCATATGATAACAGGGCATTGGGCAAGATTGTGTTTCAATGAAGAAGTCAAATGATCTTAGATATAGTGAGTTGCATTAAGAATTCTATGATCTGGGAGACGCCAAATCCAAACTGGTAGTAGAAATTAGTCTGAGTACTAGAGCAAGACTGAGTTATCAAGTTGAAAGATCAGGTGGTTTGAATGGGGAAACCTGTTAGGGAAGTATCAACTGTGACTTACAGCCTTTTCTAGGAAAACTGCAGCAATCTTGATCTTACTGACTCTTACTGACAGTAATTTAGTAAATTTGCTTTAAAAGATCAGATTGTAATATCACCCCAACTAACCAAGCAATAACATTTAAGACGAGGGATATTTTCAAAAGAAATACTAATCTCAGGGAACCAAAACCCTTTATTTGTGTTCACTTACATATCTACCACACTATAAAAATCCTACACATTTTTACATTTTTATATAATTTCTACTAATATACATATTTACATAATTCAGAAAAAAGAATATATTTTAATTCTATTCACTGCGACAACTGACTCTCAGAAAAACTTGAAGTACACATGAACAGTAAAATTATTCATGTATGATACACACACACACACATATACACACACACATATATATACATGCCTGTTTGGTTGGCTCAAAATTAATATGTTTACAAAATTTTAACTGATTTAAAATGTATGTCATTATTATTCAACAATATAGACATAATATTTATCCAGCATGTTTTGAGCAAATCATATTTTAAAATACTCTGGGAGGTACGGTTGGCAGAAATATATTTCCTTCACTATACATATTTTCTTATTGGAGCATATAAACTCTTTACATTGATCAAAATTAATCGCATGAAATGTACCCAAAAAGTTATAAATCATAGGTAGGAAAAAAAAATTACCCTAACTCAAATGTTTTGTAGTGTGCTAAATTAAGATGGTTTAGTAAGACATGGCAGCGGGGTGGGGAGATATTAACTGGAAAAAATAAACTTTCGTGACAAAATCTCTCCTGCATTCAGATAGCTGCAGGAACACCCCTAGTAACTAGTTTGGGCATGTGATCCTCTCTATCTAAAGTATACCTGGGGAAAGAGATCTACCCCTTCATGATGATTACAAACCTGTCCAAAAATTGCCATCATGCCATAAAGATTCCCCCCTGCTTCCCTGTAATCAAAAAGTCAGAAATATACTATCCAATATACCTACATTTGGTTGATTTATTTTTTCCAATATGAAAAAAATAGACAATGGAAAGATGGAATAGATATTTTATTTTATTTCCAGAACTCCAGAGATTTCATTGGGATTATTTTTCTTAAAATATAGAAAGTACTTGTGATTTAACTAGATAATATCATCATTAATTTTTAAAAGACATCAAATGTTATTTTTTAACATTTAGCTTCAGCTATGGAGGCATAGAGAAGAGCTAGAAGGAACTTTAAATAACTTGTAGTTCAACCTCTTCATTTTATTGATGAGGAGGCTTGCAGCCAGGAAACTTAATTTGTAAGTGACAGCTTTGGATCTCAAACTCTGACCATTAGGTCCCAAATCCAGAATTCTCTTTGTTTAACCAAATTGTTTGGTTAGTTCTATTATAAATCATTATCTTAAAAGCTGTATAACTTTTAGAGCATTTCTTAACCATTTCATAGGTCAGGTTCCATAGCTGTAAAATTGAAATAATTTATAGGAATAAATGAGCAAATGCCTATAAAACACAGCACAGTGCCTACTCCATAGTTAACTGCCATGTGCACTGATTTTCATTAATAATTTAAGATTCTGCTGCTCTTGTCAGCATTATCCAAATGAAAGACCTTACTATTACTGTTATGGAATTAACTTTAATTTATAATAACTAATATTTTTGAGTGTTCTCTATGCACTAAGTAAGATTCCAACTGTTTTACCTGGATTAATTCGATTCTTACAATAACCTTATTACATGTTGTAACAAAATAGTTCTTCTCTCACTGGATTGAGATTAAAGTGATCTTCCAGTTGTCTGTTCTGTTTTGAACTGGTTTCTTTAGATAAGGCACAACACTTTGGAGCTTATGCCCCAAAAGAATAAAGAGTTTCTATAAAACACTTCTGCCTCCCCTGCTTCTATTACATTTCTTCTTAAATAGGGGCATCATATTAAGAAGGAAAGCACACTGTTGGAGGATGAAGATAATGTATAACCCTATGTGTCTTGGTTAAACTATCAATAAAATGAGGGTGGTGGTGGATAGGGGAAGGATATAGAGAATTGTAGTGGATGATCTCTGTGGAGCTTTAAATCTAATATTTTTGTCATGTTTTAATTTTAAGATGGGTAGTTCAGTTTTCTTACAGGTTCTTGTTATGCATCTTCCTATCTTGTATGGCCTCTCAGTGAAACTAATGAAACTACTCAAGAAGTTACCAAATTCCAGCAAGCTTGAACACAGCTTGATTCACATTTTGCCAGCATTATTTGGTCCCTAAGTTGTAGTCATATTACACAGTAATGCTGCATTCCTATGGAAATCTTCTTTCAGTAATTCACATTGCTAATTCTGTTCTTCATAAAATTTAATTATCTGGACAGCCCTCGTGTTCATCTATATTCAGATCTTCTCTGTTAAATGAATCATTTTCTTTATTTCAAAATTCTTGCACTAGTACTAATATTATTTACTTTTTCTTTGCCAACAATAATACATTTTGTTTTTCTTTTCCAGGGTTTAAACTTGAAAAGACTGGAGGCAGTACAAGGAGGGAGAGAGGTAAGAAAGTTTAAGGAATAAGGATAAGGAAAAATGGTATATATTGATGGTGATTGATGATAATTATGTTGATAATGGTGATGGGGATGTGTTGAGAGGAATTGTGTGTACATATAGTCTCATTCACTGTGGTCAAAGAAACCCATGTTTATGTAAATGTATTATTTGTGCTTTTTCCTCTGAAACTGAAGAAAACATTATTAAATATTTTTCTGGTTAGCCAGTATTGTTTCTGTTAAAACAGATTTTACAGCAGCATGGTCCTCTGGGAAGGAGAGGACAGAAAATCCTTTTAAGCAAATATTGCAATGCAATATTAAAAACAATTTACTGAGAAATTAGCAAAATTCTAACAATGCAAATATTTTAGGACATCTGGGATTCTTCATTCTCTGATCAAAGGCCATTGTCATATGCTACTAGGTTAGTATGCATTATTAGATAGTGTGATGTTGCTCTGGTAAGGGTAATGGTTTTAAAACTTGAATTAGTTGTCTATTCCAGATGTTTTATAAAGAGGAAAAACTTTTAATTGCACAAAACATAATAACATATCATGTAATTATATACATTATTATTTTCTAATTCTAACTGAATGTGAAGACTTAATATTACTTAAAATTATTTCTATGCTTAATGTGTAAATGCTATGCTTATTCTGTGATCCAGGTTGCTGGGAAGGGTGGAATATTTAATTTAGTAAATCAGTACTTTCTTATTGCACAAAAAGTAATTTCATTTTTGGTGATACATAACAATTTTGGGGCAAAAGTGAAGGTATTGTGTCTTACAAAATGAGAAAATAAATCATACTCTGCTCTCTATTGGTGGCCTCTCTCTGTAGAAACATTTCTTCCCTGTTAAATACATGGTGTTTGCCAGCTTTCCTTGCTGTTTTAATTTCCAGTTGTATGTTTTTAGTAGTTGACATTTTAGTTTTTAGCGAATTTGTCATGTAGGATCTCTTTTCCTTTTCTCAGCTATTTTCCATCTAGAAGAATCTATTCTTTTTGAGGGGCACATAATAGTTGGCTCACATCGGCAGAAGAACTGGAGAGGGAGAAATATAGATAAATGCTCAGATATTTTTCAAGTTGTAGGAGAGCAAGATAATAAGAGCACGGTTGTCAGTATGACTGGGAAAAAATATGCACTCTGTAAGGAAGATCTCAGAGCCTTTTATGGTTTTGTGAGAGTAACTGCTTTCACTCAGACTTGGCCAAAGTAGATCTACCTAGAGAAAGAACCAAACTCATCACCTCCTAAGTGAAAGTTCACACCCAAGCAGTACTGCCACAACTTATGTTTGATGATGTGGTGCCTTTAGGAAAGTACAGTGTGGAATTACTCAGCTTCTCACTGCTGCTTTCTGGTCCAATAGCAAGTATGCGTCAAAAGAAGGAAAACTTAAACCCTTTTATTCATACAATGGCATTGCTAAACAGTGGCAAAATTCTTCATTTATTTTATTAAGATGTTGTAGTTTTTTGTGTTATTCTTAAGAGCATAATGGTTGGTTTTTATCAAAAACAGTGGCTGTTAAATTTTATTGCTTATTTTCTCATTTCCTCTGATTTTATTTGTATTATGAATGTACTTACTGGTAAGGCACTTGGTGATAATGTGTTTTAAATTTTTTAAAAAATTATTTTTCTTGAAACTATTTTGTGGTTTCTGTGAAGGTCAACATTTTAATGGCTTACAATTTAATGTATATATCTGCATAGAGAGACAACTTTGATTTGGACCATCTTAACGTTAGTGGAATAATTGTGAACAAGGTAAGATCATCAAATCAATGATAGTCCAGCAGTGTCTTTTCTACCTAACACTTCCAATTCCTGAATAGAAAATAAATGTTCTCTGTTAAAATTCAAAACAACTACTTTACTTCCTCCCAGGACAACCCTGGGTTACTTGGGCATACTTCTGTTCAATCTAACCAATTACCCTAGCTTTTCCCACATCTAAGGAACCTAATATGTTTTACCATAAGAAACTCTAGGGAAGTATAAGATAATTCTGTGACGTATGTTGTAAAGACTGTTCTGTCAAGTCTCAGGGGCAGATGATCTGCAAACAAAGTACAATTACAGCGTTAAGAACCTTGTGATATCTCTTGCTCAAGAAATGTGACATGTATCTCTCTGATTACTATGTCCTGTGTCCACATGTGCCTTACAAGGATGTACAAAGTACTTCTGATTACCTTAAGCTGAAATGTGTGGATTTACAAAACTCTTATTCCAGTTTCTTCGAATTTCTCATTGTAATGGCATTATGATTGATAAAGATTAAATGACAATGACTACTTTTTAAGCAAAATTTATTTTTCTTAGTTCCAATGACAGATATTCCCAATAGGTGTTGATGAATGTAATACTAAGGGCCTATTACCAAATATTTATAAGAAGGTTTAAGAAATGTCATTTAAAATGTCCTATTTACTTATAAAGGTAATGACAATAGTTGCAGTATGCATGGAAAATTGAAGCAGGCAGTAATATGCTATTTAGCTAAGTGGTAAATACTATTAAAAAGCTAATTGCTAGACAGAAAGGCCAGATTTGAGACTACATGCTGTATAAAAATATAAATTAATAGAAGTGATTAAAATATAAATTACTTTTTCTGAAGGAAATAGAGATGGGTAGCAGCTAAATTGCTAAAATGTGAAATATTTGAAATAGATATTAGCTGTATAAAAAACCTCCAGTTATATCAGTATTTTTTCATATTTATACATGCATACTGTGTATATAAATGGAGGGGGATGATTGTAACACATAATAACAACCTTGTTTAAAAAGGGAGCTTAGTGGAATTCTATATAAAATGTGACAATTTAACAGCTATTTCTAACTGAGTGTAAACAAACATTCTTCCTCCAGTGGTATCTTGCAACTCATAGAAAAACCTTGGTGAAAATTCACTGGGTAACACACATAGATAAATCATTATATTTTTTACTTTAAAAAATTTCTGCTTTCCCATATAGTGCTTTTATTATTAAATATACATAAAACCAAGTTACTATCAGTTTTCTTAAAAGATTTTAAAGTGCATTTTGTTATTTTAAATAATATTATATTTTCCCAAAGTACAGTTTTTGTTAACTTATTAAGGATTCATCTGTGTGTGTGTGTGTGTGTGTGTGTACACACTAATTTTAAATGGCAGATTTTCTTGACTTTTACCCTACCTCAAAAATACCCAGCCATCAGTATTCTGAATATCCTATATCACAGGTCTAAAAACACATGATATGTGACTTCATATCATGGATGAAGGGAAATAATTATTATGGTTAAATATCTAAATCAGGATTAAACATTTAGCTTCTGAAATTTTACTGAATGTGGTAAGCTGATGTGAAAGGCAATGGTTATTGGAACATTTGGATTCTGGCTCTTATTAGAAGTTACAGAACCACAGAGGCTATGCAAATAGAACACAAGTATGTCATCATCAAGGATCACTTTCATATAATTTGCATGACTCAGATGTCCCAAAGTGATGAACGAAATAAGCACAAATCATGTTGCAATCCTTCATCTGGAATTCCAAAGATAAGATCTATGTTGGCACATCTGAATTTTTTTTTTTTTTTTTTTTTTTTTTTTGAGACAGAGTCTCGCTTTGTTGCCCAGGCTAGAGTGAGTGCCGTGGCATCAGCCTAGCTCACAGCAACCTCAATCTCCTGGGCTCAAGCGATCCTCCTGCCTCAGCCTCCCGAGTAGCTGGGACTACAGGCATGCGCCACCATGCCCGGCTAATTTTTTTATATATATATCAGTTGGCCAATTAGTTTCTTTCTATTTATAGTAGAGACGGGGTCTTGCTCTTGCTCAGGCTGGTTTTGAACTCCTGACCTTGAGCAATCCGCCCGCCTCGGCCTCCCAGAGAGCTAGGATTACAGGCGTGAGCCACCGCGCCCGGCCAACATCTGAATATTTTAAAAACATTGTTGTATACTCTCATAAAACTGATTATAAATATGCTTATTAAACATTAGAAATGAAATTAATACTTTAAATAATTTCTGGAAGTAGTCTTTAGAAACATGGCCAAAAAAATTATAGATAGATTTATCCTGTTAGTAGAAAAATTCCCGGGTGCTTTAGAATTTTTTCAGTTGATAGTTGGCCATGCAATTGATATTTTAAAAATTTCACTTTTACTTGTATGATCGCAAGTACAGATAAATCCTAATAGACCCACAGTTAAGAAAAAAGTGGACATTTCCAATTGTTAATATAGCTGACTTATTTATATATCATTCTCAAGAAAATCATGAGCTGTCTTATAACCTGTCTTCTGTTTTGCAGTCTAGAATACATCTCTAACATTCTCTGTTGAATTACAGTGTTCTGATCCTCTATTTTCTTTGCTGAAAACCATAAATAGGAAATTATGTGTGATATGAGCTTCTGAGACTTAAACAAAATTAATCAGAGAGATATGAAAAAGCGTAGATTGAAAATCAATTTACTTAAATACTATATAACCAACCCTAGTTTATATTTATATGCATTAGTCATTTAAAATAATACTTCAAGATTTTCTATTTATGTCAAGTGTCATTTGAACATATAATATTCTAAATAAAGTAATTATTTTATTCTAATAGTGTATTTTATGCTTTTGCTAATAGACTTAGATAAATGTATTATTTCTTGACAGATTATATATTCATATTTGAAATTGAAAGTCATTCTAAATTTGAGCTCCAAAAGGGAGAAAATTCAGAGAATATGATAAATTACGTTGTGAATTTCAAAATAAACTGTCTACTTGGAATATTAGTATAAGCATGATTTTACATGGAACAAAATAAAAATCACCATAGATTTATCTTTCCAAGTATAACTTCATTAGAATTATAAAGCAGACCACTATAGAACTAGGTTATTCCTTGAGTTAAGAAAACTGAGTTTTCCCAGGTCCAACAGATCACTGGAGAGAATTGTTTTTTAAAGGGATAAAAGAAGAATAATATGCAACTTCTAAGAATAGAACTAAAATTTAAGAAAGTGTACTGTTTTTGGAAATAAGAGTCAGAAAAAAGTGTTGAAGAGTATTGTTCTCTTAAAGTCTAATATTTTAAATAATTTTGAAATTATGGAAGATAACTATACTTCTTTTATAGCTTTGTACATTAAGTAAAAAGTCTTCCACAGAAATAGATGATCATTACAGTAATCTTTAATAATCTTTTGTCACAACTTGCTTTCATTTGTATGTTTTCTTTATGGTCTAATATTCAGAATATAGTAGTTTGAGTTTTTCATTTTTGTTCAACTATAGGTATCCCATTCTTGGTTGCTGTAGACTTTAGTAGAATAAAAGATTATTTTATAACATCAGTGATGACAAGTTCTTTGAAAATGTATATTGGCTAATATTCTTCTTTAAGTTATAAATGCTAAGACAGAAATAACTCTTTCATTTTAACAAGACATTTTCAATGTTTCGGTGCCTATAGTTTGCCACTAAGATGTATGTGATTTACAGCATGAATCTGAGATCAAGAGACCTTTTAAGGACTCAGTAAAAAATAAAATATCCCTATTTTTTTCCCTGCTCGGAATCGACAGGTAATAAAGGAAGTGAAGGATCTTTGTGCTTATAAATCAATATTTAATTGAAAGACTTAGACTTTATAAGACTATAATAATTGTTCCTATTTCAAAAGGCTGTTGAAAGGATAAAATGAGTTAATACATATAAATCTCTTTCAGTGGTGTCTGATAGGAAGCACCCAGTAAATTGCAACAGTTAATATTATTATTATTTACATCAACAGCTCCTCCTTTCATCTTTTCTTTTGTCAGAGATAGTTTGAGTGTCACGTTATTGGGAGATTTTACTGTTCACACTGATTAGTCTACACCATGAGAATTGATGATATCCTATGCCAACCTTGACTCTTAAAGGATTTTACATTGTAAATTAGTTCTGAGGTGGCAATTTCCAAATAGGGCAATAAAATCGACTTGGGATCCATTGTTTAACCCCAGATTCTATATTTCATATTACAAATGAGAGAACATATTATTTCCCTTTTTCATGTATGCTGTCGTTTATAGAGTGCTCAGTGCCTGCCTATAGCTTTTACAAACTGTTTTTATCATTCTTTATATTTTCTGTGTAATCTTCAGATTGGATTTTGAAGATCTCTTCTGTGATTATAAACCACTAACATTCAAAGATATCACCCAAAAGAAACCTGTTGATGAAGCAAAACCATGCTTATTAGATCAACTTCGATAAGAAAGATTATAAATCTTAGTATATCCAAAATGGGGGGAAAAATCAGAAGTGAACACAGTTTAATTTTTTCCTCTCTTTTGGAAACATTTGACTCATTGTCTAGATTAGTTATAGGCCAAGAATAGGCACATAGTGACAGTGTTTTCCAAAAGTAGCAGTAAAAAGAGAAAGGGAAACAAGTGAGAGGGAGCCAGCTTCTGACAGATACGGAATCACCGTAGAAGGCTAAAGCAAGCCTTAAATATGGGAAACCATTACACACGTACACACGCATGCACAGAAAGCTACACAATCAAATATTTACAACAGGATTCAACAATAATTTGAACCACAGTCAATTCCATCAAGTAACAGTCCAACAGTCTTGTTGCCTTGATACAGTTCCCCAAAATGGACATGGCAATTTCAGGTTATACGTCTATAGGCTAGAGACATATGCACATGACTTAGTATAACAAATAAGTGGGAATTTGACCTAGACCGCCAAATAGGCAACACCACATGAAGACCTCCTATCTTAAGAACTTGGCCTAAAACCAAATGGGGGCCGGGCAAACACTCTGCCTCTAAGCAAAATGAAACTAAGTGGGACAAAGACAAGATTGAGAAAAGTCCTTACTCGGTTTTTAAAACCTTATCCAAATAAAGTTTGTCTAAAGTCTGGTAAGAACTTTTCAACTCATGAATTCTTAGAATTAAATCTCCTCCTATCGACTCACAACAGAGAGTAACAAAAACAAACATTAGTGTTATACATAACAAAGCAGGGTTTTCATCAAGGATAAGAGTTTTCAAAGTTGGTTAGGTAATCAGAGGATTACTAAAAGTCATACTCATTCCTAAAAGTGGAAGCTTTGCATTTAGGAGACTGACAAAAATAAAAGTTTAGATCCAAAGCAGGATTTACCTCGCTGTTGTAGTCAGAGAGACCCCTGAGTAGGACACCTCAGTGGCCTCAGAGAAATATGTTTCAAATAGAGGACCTGGAGTAGGCTGCAGAGGGATTTCAGTTGAACTTCCATTATATCTCCACAATCTTTGACTGTTGATGCCACAAAAGAACAGAAAGAAAAAAATCTATTGATCAAACAAAGCTAAGTTTGTAAGACCCAATGCAATAAAACAAAAACAAAAACAAAAAAACACTACATTAACAAAGTTTTTGTAGGTCTCTAAATGGGGAATTTAGGGTAGGATATTTACAGGATGTTAAAGTCCAGGCTCAATTACTTAAAGGCAGGTTTTGCAAGGTAGGGAAGAGGTAGTGATTAAGCAGATTTTATGACTTTGTGGGTTTGTACAGGGTGAAATAAATAGAGATTGCAACTTCAGGGTTCTGAAAGGCAACATGTATTCCTTATGAGTCTTCTAAAACATGTCTGGATGTAAGTAAGGAGTTGTAATTTTAAAGTGGATTTTACAAACAGGTGAGGACCAGTAAGAATTACAGTTGACTTTCTAATCAACATAAATTTAGGTTTCTGTCTTTAAAAGAAACACACATTATTTTTAGAATCAGTTACAACCTAGATATGTTTTCATTTGAAAAGGCAAAAACATATTTATTTTATTTCCTTATATATTTACTTGAAATTATAGTCTTAAACAAACTTACAGGGTTTTTATGTGTGTATGAAATGGATTTCACAGTTATTTTTTATCCTTAAACTATGTCAATTAATGTAAAGGAAAATACTACTCCAGATGGTTGAACTGATTCAGCCTGCTTTCATCAGGGAAGTATTTA